ATCCCAGCGTAACCATGACTACTGTGAAGTTTCCATGTCTTTTGCCACTGTTTCAAGTATTCTTTCTAAAATCTGATTGTTTTTCTTAAAACAGTGGTAGACCATCTTGCAAAACAGGTACTGTCTTTCATCTCTAAAAGCAAAGCAAGTCAGTAAACCCAACCACGGGCATGAGGAGATGCTTCTCTCCTCTCACTATGCACACCTCCCTTCTCACCGACGGTGTCCACCACACAGACAAGGCCCATTTTCCTATGTGCTGAAAGGTACTGGATGGGTTTCTTCCCCTCTCTTTCACCACACTAGAGAATCTCTAATGGAGTTTAAACACTTCCTTTGATAGATGGAGCCTCAGTTGATGCTCTTCCTTCCTGAAGTACTTGGGCTTTGATCAAGATTCCCACAATGAGCACAGTGGATGTTGTTTTGTTCTCTTTGTTGCCAGCTGTTGTGTGACACTATTCTTGGGGAGACCTGAATGGCCATCTACTCACCCAGATAAGGAATAAATGACAGGCCAAAGTAAGGATACCTCAAAGTCCAGCTTGGTAAACCAATGGATTTTACTGGGGTTACATACAGGAATACGGGTAAAGGGTTACTAACAGGAGCAAAAATGACTCAAAGACAGTTGCGTCACCAAAAGCCCACTTCGGCATTGAGTGAGAGCTCATAAAAGCTGGAAACCTGGGCAGCTGAACAGGTTGTATGTACAGTGTCCCTTCAAGGCAGCTTGGGTGGTCTGAGTGACTTTCAGTTATCTGGGCTGGTATCCTCTTCCTCTGGATGACTCATGGGTCTGAGCCTCCTCTAGGTAGCTAGGCTTGTCTGAGAGTGTCTCCCAGCAGCCCTTACTGTCTACATAAGCCTGGCTGGGGAGAGGAGGGCCTAGTATATCTGGTCAGTTTCAGGGTCATCCTCAAGCTTTTGAGTTGTTTACTTCCTGAGCTTAAGGAGCTTCCTTGCAGGATAGAATGTCTCACCTTCCTTAGAACATCTTTCTTCTTAAGGAGCTTTCCTCCAAGATGGAAGGATTTATCTCGGAGGAAATTGGCACACAACACTTAATTTGAAAGAGAAACGTTAATTGAAAACAGTACCTATGTGAAAGTGAAAAAAACTCACACTTAAGGTGGAAAGGGATCCTGGCTCATGGTTCAAGGTCCAGCTCACTGTGGCTCATGGGAAGAGGCCAAGGCAGCAGGAGTTGGGAGCAGCTGGTCACATTGCATCCACAGTGAGAAACAGCAACGAATGTGCCGCAATGCTCAGCTCCTTTCCCCATTTTATAGTCTAGAACCTTCTGCCCAGTCAAACAGACTGCAAACAGTCAAGATGCGTCTTCTGCATCAATTAACATTGTCAAGATAATTCCCATGGGCATGGCCAGACACCCACCTCCTCAGTGATTCTAGAGCCTGTTGAGTTGGTAGTAAAGAACACTAACCTTCACATATATTTTCGTGTGAGATCGTATAACTCTTAAATTTGGTGCCTTCTTTTTGTCTTTTCTCAGACACATAGAACATTGAGATGTTGAGTGAGATTATGAGCAGAAATTTATTATCACCTTCAAAACGCCCCAACCCTATCCTTCCTTAGAGCAGAACCAAGCAAAATTGAAGATCTGTTACTATGAGGAGTGACCAACGAGTATGGGGGGTGGCACATACATGTATGTATGCATGCTCACGTTTGAAGGGCATGTACATGCAGGTGTGTGTGCAGGCCAGAGGTTGGTGTCACGAAGCTTCTGCTCTTCCAGCTTATTCTTTGAGACTGAGGCCATCAGTCAAACCCAGAGCTCTCCCACAGGGATGGTTTAGCTCTCCAGCGTGCTCTGAAGACCCTCCCCCGTCCCTCCTTCCTGGGCCACCATGCTTACTCTTCACTTTCATGGACTTTAGGGATCCCAACTCCATTCTTCCCACTGATGCAGCAAGTGTATTAACTGCTTAGCTGTTTCCCCAGCCCTTTACTGGTTTTTGATCATTGCTAACTTGAAATCAATTTTTTAAAATGATACAAAGGATCAGTTGATTAAAAGGATCAATTGCCCACTACTGAAGTTCAGTTTCTTTTTACAAGATGAGACTGTGCCCAGCATCTGATTAAAAGATGCTACAAACGGTGAACAGTTACACATTTACCAAACATCTGTAATAACTAGTTTTAGTCCAAATATGTGTCCATGTTTTACCATCTGTAGAAATGAAAGATGTAAACACACCCCAATGTTTTATGCTGATCACTCTAATACGGTAGCATTTGGGATGTTTATAAACATCACAGAAACTGGTATAGGAGCCAGAATCTGTGCTCAGAAGTGTGTGAACCATGCATGCAAATTCCAGAGTTGTCACTCTACAACAGGAGCACAGAGAGAACAAAATTTTCAAGTATGTTCCATGAACTGTGACCTGTGTTTCTGTGACACACCCTCTGGGACACTGTAGAAATGAGTAATTTCCTATTTAAATAAGAAGTTTAAAATTCAAAAAGGTGCAAATTTTATAAATACAGGGAAATTTGACAGAAGAATGTCTGTGGTGCATCTCCTCCAACCACCTACTCAAATTCTGGGAAAGTATCATCACTCAAAGATACTTCGAGAAACTTCGAGAAACTGATAAATCTCATCTCCGACACGTATTGGTCCTAAATGGATTGCAGTTTAGGGGGCTGAGTTTCCTGGGCGACCTCAGACTTCAAGCACATTCCTGGTACCCACATGCACAAACTGGTGCTGCTGGGTCCCTCTCCCTGGCTACACTGCACTGTAGGCTTTGCCTTTTCTAGTCCTGGAATTTCTGGCCCCTCTCCAGGGCTCCACTTAGTGTAGAGTCTGTACTGGTACCAGTCAGCTGCTGCTCTGTGTCTCAGAATGTCGGGGGTATTTCACTTTTCTCAGAGGCTTACTTAGTCTTCTTGTCATGATTCCACACCAACAAACGTCACACTGTGCCTAATGCTGGGTAGATGAGAACGTGCTTGACTTCGTTATTGAATTTTATTTTTTATTTGGAGCCTGCTTTTTCCAGTTAAAGACTCCTTTCTAACTTCTGTTAGGTTCTCTTTTCTACAGTGAATCTACTTTCTCCAGGATCACTTTCAACTGCAGCTTTGCCTCATCTGTTAGAGCCTGAATTCCTTGGACTCTCTCCTCCACTCCATTCTCTACATCCTTACCTCCCCTAACCTGAGAATGAAAGACCATCTCCCTCAGCTTCTCTAGCCAGACTCCTCAGATTAAGAACTACTTGTCCACCAGGCACGGTAATCCATGCCTTTAATCCCAGCATTTAGAAGGCAGAGGCAGTCAGGTCTCTGTAAGTTCAAGGCCAGCCTGGTCTACACAATGAGTTCCAGGCCAGCTGGGACTACAGGGAGACCCAGTCTCAAAAAGACCAAAAAAAAAAGAACCACTTTCCCAACACCCCAACACCACCTCCCCCACAACCCATCCTGCCAGTCTTTTCTGCATTCATTTAAGTGGGATATGTGTGGCAAACGGAAGGCCTGCTTCACAGTAGATAGTAAAAACAGGATTGTAGAGTTCAAACTCCAGCTGATCACAGTTCCAGCTCTGAGTTGGATCAACACGTACTAGACCACTCTGTGCTTTATTTTTGCTCACCTAGAAAATGGAATAATAGCAGAGTGCAAAGAGAATGGAGCCCCTGAAAATAACCTGCATTGCCTTGTGGCGTGCACAAGTAAGCAAGCCACCAAACGAGATGTATAGAGACCTCTTTGGCTTCGGACTGATAGGCTCTCATGAAGCTACTCAGCTTCTAGACAGGGGTATACATTTGCTAACTCGGGAGCTTGAGGAAAAGCCATTGACATCCTCCCTACCTTCCCTCTTAATAACTACTGGTCACTCCCATTATGTCTAGTCTTCCCCTTGAACCTGAGGTTTCCCACCCCAAGGTACTGCTCAGTTATAGTTTACCTGAATCAGAAAAATCTTATCATTCAGGTTAACAAAATGCACAGGATTGCCCTATTCCAAGCATCCCACTCTGTGTCATACTGACCAGAGCTTTCCCCTGCTGTCTTGGTTTCTTTTCTGTTGTTGTTATAGAACACCTGACAGAAGCAACTTAAGGGAAGTTAAGAGGCTTATTTTAGTGCACAGTTCAAGGTACAGTCCCTAAAGGAAGTTAAGGCAGTATAAGCTTGAAGCAGCTGGTCACAACACACAGTCAGCAAGCAGAGGGATGAAGGCAAGCTAGGCAGCTCATTTTTCCATGTTTATACAATCAGGATGCCCAGCCAAGGAATGATCCCACCGTTCCCATATTAACTAACATGATCAAGACAATCTCCTGCAGGCCTACTCAGAGTCACATCTCCTAGATGATTCTAAATTCTGTCAAGTTGACAACTGAAATTAACCACACCCACCCAGTGTTTTGAGCCCTCAGAGTTTGCTGGCCTGCCCCTCTCAAGACACTGAAACACTGACTTCATCGATTGAAGGAATGATGGTATCTATGACAGAAAATATTGCTTGCAGGAGACGATGGTGTCAACTTATCATAGACTGCCTTGGATTCTGATATGTTTTATCTTCTTAACTAACAGGGAGAAAATGAATGAAAAATAAAGTGTGAACAAATTAGCCAAAAATCAAAATGACTTTCCATTTTTAAAGGTAGCACAACAACATATCAAATATTAAAACACATGAAGTGCAAAAGCTATAGTCAGATAAATACCTCAGAGAACTTAGGTGATCCAAATTATGTAAGGATGAAGTAGAAATGAATAAGAATGTGAGGATTCTAATCTAGTTTACGATTTTATTTAAGAATTACTTTTCCTTTAGTTGGCATGGATTTACCCATTATTTAAAAAGTTTTATTCTCCTATCTGTATTTTAAATATTCTCACATGGTTGGCAATAAAATTTCCTGTGAAATGTTTCCCCTGTAAAATGTACTCTTTGACAGTTTCAAACTCCCTTGACAAAGATTTGTTCTGCTGCGTTACAGCCTCACGGTGAGGAATGAAGAAAGAGCAGACAGCGCAGGAAGGCCCATTCATACCACCAAGATGGAGAGCATCCAGGTCCTAGAGGAATGGTGAGTGTGAGAGCCATGCTGGGCCCGTCCTGGTGGTGAGAACCACCCACATCCACCCAGCGCCAAGCACTGTCTCCTTATGGAACTTGGAAATGATTGTGTGAAATGAGTGGCAACTTGGTCTGGGAGATCTTATTTAGAGACAGCAATTATTTTTCATCAGGTTTTCTATTGACTATGTTATCAGCTACAGCATTGCCCAAGTTTTATCTTTTTCCTTTAATAAATAAAGATTACTGCATGAATTAGCACTGACAGTGCCTTACTTTTGATTCTCTTGATTGAGAATATTTTGTTTTGTTTTTGAGACAGGGTCTCCCTGTAACCTCAGCTGACCTGGAACTCACTATGTAGACCACGCTGGCCTTGAACTCACAGAGATCTGGTGGCCTCTGATTCCTGAGTGCTGGGATTAAAGGTGCGAGCCACCACATCTGAAGACTGAGAAAAATTTTAAGTTCCTGTCCTTATGAGAAGAATCTAAACAGTGCTCATACATGTACACGCATGCATGCGTGCACACACACACACACACACACACACACACCACATGATTATCAAAGTCAGTCAGGAAAACACACCTCACTAACTAACCCCTGGTCCTATTTCCATGTGAACAGACTCCAAACCACTTTCTCCCACATGAGAAGTCCAAGTATAATCTTTAGATAATAAAATCAAATTGTAAGTCGACTATGCACTTAATTATGTGCTTCCTTTTTTGTCCTTTTTAACAACTTTTAATATGAGTTTTATTGTGGTGTTAAGCATTTATAAATTTAATAGTTTATTATGAGTGTGTGTGTGGTGAGTTGTGTGCTCATATGTTTATGCATGTGTGTGTTCGCTCACCCATGTGTACGTGTGAAGAGGCGTGAGGAAGAGATCAACATCAGATGTCCTCCTGTACCACTCTCCACATTTTTTTTTTTTTTTTTTTTTTTTTTTTGGGAGCAAGGTCTCTCACTAAACCTAGAACTCAAAGTTTTTGTTAAGCTTAGCTCACTGGGTTGTGAGTCCCTGGGACTGGCCTGTCTCTGTCCTCCCCCCAACCCCCAGCCCTGAGGTTCTAGATGCACACAAGATTCCCTGGATTTTACATGGCTGTTGGGGATCTGAACTCTAGTTCTCATTCATGTGCAGAAAGCACTTAACCAGTGTTAAGTGAACCATCCCCCCAGCCCCAAATTTAATATTTCAAATGAAGGAAGAGGTTCAGACACTGTGGGATATTTGTAAGTATATCTAAAATACCTGGTCAAAAAGTTAAGAAAAATAAAATGTGCATCCCTCTTGACCAAACATATTCTGAGTCAAAAACAAGATTCTGGATCATTTTAACCATAAGAATCACCAAGCTTCATGTCTCCCTTTCTTTGATGTTTAGACAAATGGCTCGATGACTGGTGAGGTCTTCAGTAAAGTAGTGGTCTATGTACAGATGCCAGAAAAAAAAAATCCATGCTGCTCTAAAAGTTCTCTGCTTTTCAAGGAATGCTTTTCAAGTATTTTAGGAAATTTTGTGACAAGTCCACAAATCATATTCTTATTTTAGATTGAGTAAGTAATGAAGAATGGATACTAGAGTTGAAAAATAAATTGTTTCTTGTAGTCACACAAGGGAAATCTGGGTTATGAAACAAAGGGGGGAAATGTAATTTACATAGTGTTTCTATCAGTTTATAACAACAAATGGCTAAGGAACGTCAGTATTTGCAGGACTCATTGGGAATGTTTTACGGACACACGTGAGGGGTGTAAGTCCTTACTATTCCGACAATCAGCTCCTATCCATGCCTCTTGGGTCGGTGGGGATATTTGTCAAGACCCAGGATTAATCTAGCCCCTCACAGTATTGCCAGATCGAACCAGACTGAGTAGCAAAACACTGATCACTAGATGGCAGCACGTGCTTGGCCTGTCACTCCACCGAGCTTCATCCTAACCCGTTTCTAGATCAAAGTTGCCTTTAAATGGCTTTATTCTGTCCCTGCAGCCAAAACCCCACTGCAGATGAAGTCTTGTCCTGGTCTCAAAGTTTTGACAAGATGATGAAAGCCCCTGCGGGAAGAAACCTCTTCAGAGAGTTCCTCCGAACAGAGTACAGTGAAGAGAACCTGCTTTTCTGGCTAGCCTGTGAAGATTTAAAGAAAGAACAGAACAAAAAAGTAATTGAAGAAAAGGCCAGAATGATATATGAAGATTACATTTCTATACTATCGCCGAAAGAGGTAAGAATCTGGAAAACACTGCGGTGGGCTTCTGAGGACCCAGGATGACTCCAAAGGGGGCCGTTCTTCGAGGCCATTAGCGCCTGGACCTCCCTGAGTAGAATCGTAAATGAGTGGGCATCCTTCCATCCAGAATCTCCCTGAACATGTATAAAGCCAGGTCCCCTCAACCACGCTTGGATCATTTATAGGTCACTCGCTTTCCAGAGCTAACCCTGTGGAACATGTTGAGGCAAGTTGTGGTGCCTTAAAGTGGTATGTAAATGACATATTAAATAAATGTAAAATATAAACATTATATATACATATACACAAAACATTTCTTTTTTATACTCTTTAAAAATTTTATGTGTATGAGTATATTGCTTGCATGTGTGTAACTGCACTCAGTGCAAAGCCCGCAGAGGTGAAAAGAGGGCATCTGATCCCCTGGAACTGGAGTTACCATGACAGCTGCCCTGTGGGTCCTGGGAATCGAAGTCAGGTCCTCTGCAAGAGCAGCCAGTGCCCTTAACCACTGAGTCATCTCTCCAGCCTCTATAAACATTTCTTGATGTTACTATTAAGGCTCATGTTCTGAAATTTTCATTTCCTTGTTCCAAGGTCATGTCTTACACATTTTAAAAACAATTTAAGCATTATGCCCTAAAACAGATGTTTGAAATCAATAGGCAATACAACGTCCACTCTTGATCTAGGGTGCATTTTAAGAGGGAAAACAAAATTTTAAGTTTTTTAAAAATTAACATTTTTTGTTAGAAGCAGCATTTCTTTCAAGCAAATGAAGATGATAAACACAAGTGTCCTTGCCACAGATTGCAATTTCTGGTGGCACCTTGTGTCTGTTAAGTATTGTAAAGGCCAACAGTAAAATAAGAAATTAATAAAAAGCACATTTTTAACTATAAACAGCATCAAGTCATTGAAAAAAGTAAACAGATGTAAATCCATAAATCTATAATACTTTTGGGTGAATGTAGGAAAGTATGTGGTTTGTTATCTACAAATCCCTTAATGCTGGCTTGGGAATTAATGAGGATTGTCTGTCCCATCCCGTGCCTTCCTGGGACCCTTGGCAACTTGATTTGGAGCCCCAGCTTCCTAGCTGTGTAGAATGATGGTGTGAAGGCTCTAAAATCATGTTTGTGATGTCTACACTTCCACTAGGTAGTAAAAATTGCTTGCAGCTCTAAAATGGGGTGTGCCATGTGGCCAAAAATGTAAACCATTTTACATTTTTGTAAATGTAAATGGGAAGGAGGACTTCAGAGTCCCCAGCTAGCCTGGTGTGTGCAGAGAGGAACAAGACACCTTGTCACAAACAAAGTAGGAAGTGAGAACAGACACCCAAGGTTGCCCTCTGATCACCATACATGCACCACAGCATGTGCAAGCCAGCACTCACAAGAGTGCCAACACACACACACACACACACACACAAGCATGCACGCACACATGCACACACACACACACACACACACACACAATAGATAAGTAGCAGGGACACTGATTACAGACTATGATATTAAATAATCCTAAGTAAAACACAGTTTCATATGCATGGCTTCAATGACTGAACAACAACAAAAAGATGCACAAGATAAAGCTTTAGGGTCTGGAGAGATGGCTCAGCAGGTAACAGGACTGGAGTTCAGCTTCCATCACCCACATGGTGGATCATGACTGTATCTCCAATTCCAGGGGATCTGAAGCCCTCTTCTGGCCTCTATGGGCATTGCATGCACATGGTGCACTTAATGCAGGCAAAATGCCCATACACATAAAATAAAAGTAATAAATCTTAAAAAAGATTAATCTATAAACTATTAAATCCGTGGAGTTTGTCCTTGTTTAATATTTCTACTTCTTTTGATTGACTGACAACCTTTCAAAGAAACAATGAAATATAAGGTAACTTTTATTTTTCAAAAGGAAAAAGCCAAGGGATTATTGTTACAAGTTACTAAATACTGAACAGAACAACCTTCACTATGATATTTTGTAACTCTCAGGTTTTTTTATTTTTGGTCTTTTTGAGACAGGGTCTCCCTGTAGCCCCAGCTGTCCTGGAACTCACTATGTAGACCAGGCTGGCCTTGAACTCACAGAGCTCTGCCTGCCTCTGCCTCCCGAGTGCTGGTATTAAAGGCCTGCACCACCATGCCCGGCTAACTGTCAGTTTTTAAAAAGAGTTAACAATCAGGATTCAATGTGTAGAGTAATTGAAGTGATATTTTTGTCTTATGATAATATTATTCCAGCTACTGATAAACAGCTATTATACTAGATTAAAGTATGTGCTTAAGAAGGAAACGACCCTGTTCTTAATCATTAAGTTTCCTTCTCCTCTGAAGCACAAAGTTCTCTCAAGTTTAAAAATAAGCCACCACTAGCAAAAATAAGAGGGTATATTTGGTTAAGACTTCATTGTACAGTGAGGTTTCAGATAAAGGCACATCAATTTAAGTTCCAATGCCAAAGTTTTGTTGAGTAGAAACAGGAAATATACTTTTGGACAAAATAAGAAGCTTAGGAAAAATTCTAACGCATAAGATTACTTTGTAATTGGTGGTCACTTCATATGACATGAACAGTAATAATAAAAAACTAAACAAGCAATTTACAAAACATCTTTTAAAAAGAGAATTCCAGCCCCTGCCATGGTGACCCATGCCATTAATCCCAGTACTCCACAGACAGAGGCAGGCGGATCTCTGTGAGATCAAGGCCAGCCCAGTCTACATAGCAAGTTCCAGGCCAGTTAGGGCTACGAGGAGACCCTGTCTCCCCGCATCACCCCCCAAAAAAGCAAACAAGCAAGCAAACAAAAACAAAAAACCAAACAGAATAAAATAAAATAATAAAAAATAATTCTCAACAAAAAGGAATGTATCGTTCAGCTATGAGATATTTTTCTGTACAAAACCTGGCTGGACGAAACTGAGGAAACTTGCTCTGAATCACCACTTCCTGACAAATCTAGAAAACTGCCCATTGGCCTATCAGTCAACCAAACTGCAATTTTTGGTAGAACTCAGGAACCCTGGGAGATGATGAGGTCTGAGTGACTTTATTCAGAGACAGTCAGTGCACAATCCTGACTGTGGAGGAGAAAGGCAGCCAGAACAAGAAAACTGTCATAAAATGCTTATGGTCATTTATATAGAAACACAAAAGGCCTCTATGTTATAAGGCTGCTAATTGTGGATCACAATGTCCTGTTCCTAGCTCAGTAGTCACAGTTGAAGGCAATCAGGACTCAGTCACTGGGTTTTCTCCTGTAAGGTTTTTTGTTTAGCCTCTTTCTCTGGCTTTGCTGGGGATGGAAGCCTCATGTATTTGTAGGTTTTTATCTAGCATGGCCTTTCAGGGAAGAGAAAGAGTTCTGTTTCCCTAAATGACTGGGGAAACAGCCTTTATTGCTATTTATCTTTCCTTTCCTTTCCTACATGTCCTTCGTATTTCAAACAAATGATCATTCATTGGTGGTGGGTTGTAATAAATAATTATTTAATTTCTGTATACTTTAAAAATTACTTATTTAGGGCCTGGAGAGATGGCTCAGCAGTTAAGAGCACTGACTGCTCTTGTAGAGGACCCAGGTTTGATTCCCAGCACCCACATGGTGGCTACAAACCATCCTTAACTCCAGTTCCAGGGGAATCCGAAGCCTTCTTCTGACCTCCGTGGCAGTGCACGACACGGGTGCACTCACATACATGCAGGCAATACACTCGTACACATAAAATAAAAATAAAATATTTTTTAAAATACTTATTTAATTTTATGTGTATGAGCGTTTTGTCTGCATGTAAGAGAACACAGGTTGTACAATGCCCGTGGAGGCCAGAAGATGGTGTCCCTGGAACTGGAGTTAAGGACAGTTGTGATCGGCCATGTGGGTGTTGGGCACTGAACCCAGGTCCTCTGCAGGAGCAGCCAGTGCTCTTAACCACTGAGCCATTTCTCTAGCTCCCTCAATATACTTTGGAAGCAATACTACATTGTTAATTATAGTAGTTATTCTGAATTTCTACCAAAGTTTCTCTTGTTAAACATTAGTTCTATCACTTGCTCTAGTTTCTGTTTAGTCAAAAGTCTTCACAGATGTTCCTAGACTGTGCCGAGTGGACAGGACTTAAGCACGCCTCTGTATTTCCCTCTCGCAGTCCTGCTTCCCTTCCTTAGATGCTGTAAAACCTGTTGGGATATGAAGCTAGAGAGTACCAGCATTTGATCTGTGTGCTGATTTTTGCTGGAGGACTCTTCTCTGCCTACAGTCTATGCCCCATTGTTAAGAGAGACACCCCCAAAACGCACAGGAAAGGAGGGGGTGGGTAGTTATTTTGGCCATCCTTCGGTGCTGGATCATGAGTAGAAACTGTTAAAGGATCTGGGATAAATGCATGGAAAAGATAAATTAAGGCGTCAAGACATCTGTGAACCAAATTTCCAGTTTGATCGTCCTCTGTTGCTGTTGCCTCTTTAATTCGTTTGAAGAAAAAAATAAATAAAACATTATTTAGCCTTTGAAAAGATGATATCCAAAGTTGTGGTTGCTGGATTTACTCTTTGAAATCTCTTGGAAATGTCACAAACCCACAGTTACTTAATTGAGGTTTTTGTTCCTTACTTTTAAAACAACACAGTATTTAATCCATCTGCTTTTATTTCTTTTTAGGTCAGTCTCGATTCTCGAGTTAGAGAGGTGATCAATAGGAATCTGTTGGATCCTAATCCACACATGTATGAAGATGCCCAACTTCAGATCTACACTCTAATGCACAGAGATTCTTTCCCAAGGTTTTTGAACTCCCAGATTTATAAGTCATTTGTTGAAAGTACTGCTAGCCCTTCTTCTGAATCTTAATTTTCATTTAAAAGAAAAGAAAATATTTCAGAGGGCTGGGATGGGAAATAAAAGTAGTAAAATAACATCAAAAATTGAGTTCCTGGAGAACTACAGGTTGGCATCCTCAGGTTACTGTGAAAATACAACTGTGACAGTCTGTGTCTCCATCTTTATTGAGGTTACCCATGATTACGTTTGGAGAAAATACTGCATAAGACAGTGAATTGCCAAATTCAGTTTGTTTTATTCAACATTCACGCTACTTTTGAGCAAAACGTTTGTAGTTCTATGAACAGTCTCACAGTGTATCTCCAGAGGCTGCATGTAAAAGCAAGCCCGCTTCATTTACCGTGTAGTTGTTGTGAATTTAATCCAGTAGCATAACTTATATCTGTATCTAAGGACCTTTGTGCAATATGATCTCATAGAAATAATTGCCAAAAAACTAGCTGTGGTTTGCATTTTTTAATCATAATCTGATACAAAAAGGAGATTTTAAACATGTAACAGTGATATGTAACCATGCTGTATACTGCATTCAGTACTCTAATTTTTGAAGCCAATATTTCTGTACATGGAAAAAAAAAAGAGCTATTTATCTCAGTTTGTTGAGAGGTCTTAACGGGAGATTCCTCGGGTTGTGCACTGCCAGAACACTGGCGTTTTCGTTACCGAAGAGTTTGCTGTGTTTCAAACAAAAGAAAACTAACAACAATAAGAAAAGAGGAAAAAAAAGCACAAAAAAGTGAAGATGCACTATCTCACTGAAAATGAAAGCGCGATATTGTTCTTCATTGTGATGGAAGAAAAGGGGTCTATGTATATATCAAATGTCCAATACTGTAATTAAGTTATTAAAGACTGGCTCTCCAGTTCCAAAATTTGTGTAAACTTATGTACTTCAGCAAGAAAAAAAATAAATAAATAAATAAGCTTGCTAACCCAGTTTGGGACTATAAAGGAGAAGATTTAATAAAGGAATGCCTACATGTAGCACTGTAAAAACACTCGGATGAAGAGCTTCTGCCATGTGGCATATTTTCCTGAAAGTGAAATACAGTGACAAGCTCACGTTTTTCCCTAAGCGACATTTTATAAAGGGTTATGAAGAGGATAATCTTTGACTTCAGACCTTAACTGTTTTCACGTAGTATCTTAAGACTTATTTTAACAATGTCAAAACCAAACTATTAACTCTCATCCCTAATTAAAAGGCAGTACAGTGCTCAAATCTTTTAGCTGCCAATATTCCTTTTTATAATTACATTAACTCTTTACATGAAACACTTGCCTGACCTTGGCACGTATTTCTGACCTTCAGAACAGTATCCTATTGTGCACAAAAACATAATAACAATCCATGTCATATTTATATCAAGGTCTTACATTTGAATATCAATATCCCCTGGAGACTATTTTTTTAATCTTAAACTGAATGAATATAATACTGAGTAATCTAAAAAATGAAAGATTTAAAAAGATTTATATCCACTGAGAATACTGGCCTTATATTAAGGATGATATTAAGATTATAGGTTTTCTTTATCATTTTTAACTACCTCTCATTTTTTAATTTATTAAACATATTTTTTAAAAGTTTGGAGTTTTCTTTTAAAATTCATTTTACTTGAAAGGTTGGCATCATCAGTTTCTTTTTCCATAAATTTAAAACATTTCAAGAATTGTTTTTTAAGTGAAGATGATTTTCTAATTTATATAGAATTCAGGAGCTATGATTAAAAGGGCTATTACCTATTCCCTATGCAAATACTTTAAATGTTGCAGTGTTTGACAAAATGGGATTTTAAAAAACAATTTGCAGAGTAGAAAACAAAATGTTCTGTTTACACTGGCGTTGCTGACTACCCTACCATACTCAGCACTTTTAAATACATTATTTATGAAAATGTAGTTAAAATGCAAGATAGAAAATATTTATAATAATCATCTTTTAACAAATGCCTGTTTTTTCTGAAAGTGTTAGTGTGTTTAAGACATATTTTATTCATGTCACTTAGATATTTACTATTTGAATCGTTTTCACTGATATGTTGAAAAACGATAGCTATGAAGATGTTTACAAAAAATCATATTTTTTTTCCTAAAAAGTAGAGAAAACCTAAAAGTGTCATCGCTTCTATCGCGAGATTCTATCGTTTCTGAATCATTTAGTTATTTTCTTGGCTAGTGTTGAGTTTATATGCTACTATGACATGTATACATATATGGTATAGTATATTTGTTTTTTTGTGTGAGGCACATGAGAAGATATGTAATGTACTATGATGCCTGCATGCATCAATCGTTTTAAATGTACATTCTATACTCCTGTTGTTACTATGTGTGATGGTGACCTGCTAGTCATAAGTTATCTTTATAAGATACTTTGGACTATTAGATGAATTGTCTGTTTGACAATGTGTTTAATATTTTACCAAATGTAAAAGGTAAGGGCCTTTATAAAGAGTCCTAATCTCTAACGTGGGCATTTGTATAGATTTGGAAGTTGGTGTGTCTTTTTGAAATCTGGTTCGGAAGTTGCTCTGAGAAGGTTCCATAGCAGATGTCCACAGCACATGCTGTAACCATGCTATGTGAGTATTTTTGTGCTAAATTCATTTTGGGGGAGGGGAAGGTTTCTCATTTATTTTAAAATGTTTCAAGTTTTGAATAGTATGTCTGTGTACATGCAATTCTGCCATTTTTAACGTATGGTATGATTTCTTTTGTTCAAGTCACAGAGCTATAATAAACAAATGCCCTTACCTGGTGGCTATGCTACCATCCCAAGAGCACAACACTTGCTTTACTAGAGTTTGACTTTTTTTTCCTAGTGAGTAAATTCCTCCTTGGGGGAATGCTAGCACTTTAAAAGAAGCACTTTGTGTTTTAGATTGTCAAGATAACTGTATATTGTTAGAATCTGCTAATGCATACAGAAAGAGGTTCATGCACTTTCTAGAGTGCCTCACTGGAGGCATATCTATAATAGAAAGAAAAGAAGGGCATAGAGACACTGTATATATAGAGGAAGCCAGATTTCTTCATAGATGGACCTTATAGATAGATCATACCCATATTGTATGGATGGCTCTTCTTTAATCTGACTTATGATGATGTTATCCAATGATATCACAGAGGCTCTGACAGCATTACAAGGCACATACAAGTATGAGCAAAATAGGATTTTGATACTGAAATCAGGAAATGTAAAAGCCAAAACTAGAATAAGGTCTTTTTTAAAAAATCTTAAAATATTTACATATGGCCAGTTCTGATAGCGGGTAATGGTGCATGGTGTGTTATTATTTAGTATGCTTTAATGCTTCCTAGTATGACATATGTGTTAAATTTATCTGATACCTCAGTGTCAAAGGACTATAGAAATAGGTAAGGGTTTATTTAGCAGAAATAAATACACATTTCACCCTATTAAGCTGATTTAAAGTAATACTTGATTCTTAATCTGAGTTGTTTTTCTATAAATCTTTAACCTTATTGAAAAAAGTCATATTGTCATTGTGACAAATTACACTTGGGACAAATATAAAACATCAGGTGCTTTGGTGAGGAACTGTAAAGGGAACGGAGTTAGAATACAATCAGAAGGTGGGAAAACAACCTTTTGAAAAACCTCCAACATTTTTTAAGCAGGTAGAAAATGCCTATAACTCAGAACCCTATATAACATAAATTTTGAATACTTTAAGCTTGATACGTTGGCACATTATTTTGAAATATGAAAGACTACCAAAAATTATTCTTGCCTATTTAGATTGGTAGACTCAATCTCTAATAAACTCTACATGTTATTTTGTAAACATGTAGAGTTGAGTGCTCTTTTCTGCTTTTAAATTTCTGGCCATATACAGTGCCACCCTGAGAAAAGACTGTGAAACCAGTAAAAATTTTAATTATTTTTCACTTGCTACAATTGAAAATATTTACTGATAAAACAAATACCAAAACTTCAGAATTTCTCCTCAATACTACAGTACCCTTGCACACAGTGCACGGAGTGGAATGGTACGTGTTCCTTCCAAGCACCCAGCTTGGATTTCATTATGAGTACTTAAAAAAATATTGCTCTTACAGGTATAATCCTATCTAGCCCTGTATGACATCTTTGCACATCAGTTTAGGAGGACATTCCAGACCCTCATTCCAGTGAAAACACGGAGGGATGAAGTGTTGCTCTAACTGGTGGCGGGCCTCAGGCTGAGGACTCATTTGATTCCTGTGACAAAAGCTTCCAGATGAGCTGGGAAATGGATTTGTCTTCAGCACTGATGACAGTAACCAAAGGCAACATGCTATGTCGTATGTACAATCTGAAATGTTTCCTTCATCCTCATACTAACTAAACTTTTCTTCTGATTTACCCATATTGTCACAGCCTTCTAATTTTTAATGAGAAATAAATATTTTAGAATACTAATTAAGCACCGTCTAGGGTTTAGTTACATTGCCTTTGAAAGAATTAGCTCTTATTTCTGTTATTATTAAAACAATACCACATAAGGCTTAATGGAAATGCTGGGCAATAGATTTGCATATGGGATATAGTGCAAAATAATGCAGAACTTCAAGTGATGATTTGATGATTTGATTGCAACTTACAGCTATATCCCCGGGGATGGCAGAAAAGTCACTTATCTTTTCCGAATCCATTTCCTTGTCTGCAAATGAAGAATATTATTATTACAGGGTTGCCATGGGAACAATAATGTTGTATATAATATTTTATCAAAGTTCTTCAGTAAAGTAATAATCAGCACTTTTTAAGAATGTCTGTAGTTGTGCCATCTTAAAATACTTTTTCCCTATTTTTTTCTTTCATTAATTTTTAGGATGGCACACAAAATAATGGGCTTCATCATGGCATGTACATTTTCATGTATCATCATTTCTTGTTATCATGTATTCCCCACTGCCCTTCCCCATGCCCTCTACCCTGTCCTTTTTCAAAACATACTTTAAAAATCTAAATATGGATCCAAATGAGATAATGAAGCTTATTTTAAAGTGAAGTATATCAGCTGTTTTGTTCAGTGATTCAAAATCACTGAGATCCTACCAAATATAAAATCTATAGCCTATAAATGTTCCTTACATGCCACACCGTGCACACACACACACACACACACACACACACACACAAGACATAATGAAATAAGTCAGTATTCCCAGTGATAGGAATAATATAAACTCAAGCCATTTACTACTCTACATAACAGATCAGTGAATGACAGAGCTAAAACTAAGCTTATAAAACACTATTAAAAAAACGCTTTCATATGATACTAATATGATTTGTATCATGAAACTCTGAAGAGAAAATTACTAAAAGTGGCTATGTGTTCATAAAATTTTCATCAAATTTTTAAAGATTACTTTGTGCTTTGCAGAAAAATTACAAAGATAGTACATAAAGACCTCATGTGGGAAACAATTCATCGCAATTAATGCCTACTGTTGAGACTTTAAGACTGAGCTTTATTAGGACTTTCTTACTCTGATGTCTTTTCCCTGCCCCTCCATCCCATTACCACATGTCGTTACATACCTTAGGCTCCTTTCAGCTGTGACTTTCTACCAACTTTGTTTTTTCATGACCTTGAAGCTTTGAGGGGAAATGTTTAGCCATTTTGTAGATTATCTCTCTGGTGGGATTTGTCTGGTTTTCTCATGATTAGACAGAATTTACGGTTTCTGAAAGGAATCACACCATTCTTTATATCATTTTGGTTTTTTTGAGACAGAGTCTCCCTGTAGCCCCAGATGGCCTGGAACTCATTACATAGACACCAGGTTGGTCACGATCTCAGAGATCCTCCCGGCTCTGCCTCCTTCTGGGATTAAAGGCCTGCGCCACCACAGTCAGCGGAATAATGCCATTCTTATTAATAATAACAAAGGCACACGCCACTAGGCCGGGCTTTGGGTTCCTCTTCTCTGTTGATGTCAACCTTGATCACCTACCTGAAGCATTTTCTGTTATGTTAAATCTCTCTGCTGTAATAAACATTTAAAGAGGGTATTTTAGAGGAAAACATATTCAACATTGACACTGAGCAAGGAAAAAAAACTGAGTAGATTTCTTAGCACTAATACTAGGCTTAATTAAAAGATAACTAACAAATACTATAAAGAAAATGCATCTAATTAGGAAGTGAAATGGGTCAAAGTCCAATGTTAGCTTGAATATTCACTTAATAAAAATGAAAGTGGTTTCCCCCCCTCAAAAAACCTTTATAATTACCTACATCCTACACAAACGTTGAACATTAAAGATTTTAGTCTTGCTGATTGTAATAAGAAGTTACTTATTAATCGTTTTGTTTAGTCCTATTGATGTGCCATCCACTGAAGGATGTATACAATGCTGAAGTGATATACAAGACTTGATATTTTCCCCTTGGCTCTAACCTATTTGTCATAAATACAGTGTTTCTTGTATATGATTTTAAGATGTTTGCTAAATACTAAAAAGATAACGCATTTGATTCTGTGAAACTTATCATTTTTAATGTGTATAATTTCTTACTACCATGTTCATTATATTTAGTAATTTATACCTAGATTTTGTATTCTACCAATATTTATTAGTGGACCACAAAAAAGTTTTTGAGTACACGAATTTAAGAGGAACTTAAATGCTTGGTTATTTTACAATGCCAAAATAACTGTCAGTACTAATAAACTGAATAGACAATCCAGATTACTTTTCTTGTAATTGAAGTTTTTCCGGGTTTTTATCCCTTTTGAAACTAGATCATTTACCTGTGTACAATAATAGACTTCCTGAAAGTGCTACAATTTTAATAGAATTTGAGCATGACAATAATGTAAGAAAATTCAGAAGTCTCTAAGTATATTTGAGTTTTCAAAGTAAATCAAATAATAGGTGTTTTCATTTAACTATATTGTGGTGATCTATGAATATTATTGTAAAATGCATAGGCATTACACTGATTTTCTTAAAAATGTTTGAATTAATAAAGAAGTCACCCATATATCCTTAGAGAGGTTACTGTTTCCTCATTGGTGTAACACTGTAGAAGTATAAATTCCGGGTAGATTCTTTACATTGCTATGTAAGTTATTGCTTAGTACAATTGTGCACCTTTTATAAGTAATAAAATATATTCTTGAAATAATTTATGTCTTGAGAATGCGGTTGAGAGATTTATCTTGCTGATAGGGAGATAAAACCACCTGGCAGCTCTGTTCTGTATACAGAGCAGAATCAAAACAAAATGCTTTTATGGTGTCACTTGAATACACAAAGTTAAAGGAAATTTGAGGTATTTAAATGTTTTCCATAGCAAAACTAGTTTTGCTTTCTATTATCTTAAGAGCCTCCTCATTTTTCCACCCTAAAACTCGCCCTTGTGGACACAGGACTTCCGTGGCTGTGACCTCTGGTCCTGCAGGACACTTGCCTGTCCTCGCGGGAGTCTCCAAGTCCAAGTTCGCTGTCAGAGAAAACAGCAATGCGATGCTCTTCCTTCTTGGCTGGAGTTGGTACAGCCTGGCTGCATAGCCTGGCTCCGCCTGGAGGCGGGGCCAAGGCTCGGAGGCGGGGCCAATGGTTTGGGGCGGGGCCCGGAGGCAGAACCTAAGGCGCCGGGGTCGGAGGGGGCGGGGTCAAGGCCCCTGACGGCTTCTCAGACGGACCCGCCCTCTTACCTTTTGGCCTTTGGAAACCTTCCGGTTTTCCCACGCTTCGCCGGAAGTTCTCGCCACTTCCGGCAGGGTCTTCGAAATACCGGCGGTGCCGGGAGAGGCGCGCTGGACCGTGGTTCCGAGGTCTGCGTGGTGCGAGACCTGCGGCGCGGGCTTCCGGTCCTGGGGCCGGCGGGCGGCGATGCGGTGCGGGCTGCTGTGGGCGGCCGGTCGCCGGCTGTGGGCCCGCGGCGCTGGGACTCCGGCCCGCCGGTCGCTGAGCGGCAGTGCGCCGCCGCTGGAGGAGCTGTTCGCCCGCGGCGGCCCCCTGCGGACCTTCCTGGAGCGCCACGCGGGGTCGGACGCCCGGGGGCCCGAGCTGCTGGCGGCGGCCGGACTCCTGAGCGACAAGGAGCGCGAGCTGCGGGAGACCGAGCTGTTGCTGCGTGGTAAGGGCCGGGGCCGGGACCGGGGCCGGGGCCGCAGCGTCGCTGGGCCGGTGCCCTTCACCCTGGCCCGCTGTGCGCTTCCCCCGCCGCTGGAACGCTGCTGTCGTTGCAGCTGTCTCCTGCATTTGGATTCTGCACCGGGCTCTGCGGGTCTGAACTCAGTAACAGTTTCGTGCCCTGTCGCCCAGCGGCGGAGCACTGGGATGCTGAGCCCTTCTGCATAGGCCGAGGCGATGTTACACCCACACTTAGGATTCGGAATCCCAGTCCTGGTAGTAGGCGTTCGTTCGTCTGCGTTCAGTCTAGGCCGGGAGACTGTGTCTACGTTACTGCTGGAAGGATCTATTGAGGGTTGCGGTAGGGGGTGGGGTGGGGCGGTTTAATTATAAGTGAAAACCAGATACAATATGAATAAAGGCCTAGGCGAGAAACCACCTAGGAAAGGTGTGCGGGGGTGAAAGAACCAGTCATTTTAACCCTTAATCAGCCAGAGACTAAAATACTAAACCACGGAGGGATAAGGTAACTAACTCTTACAACAGCTTGTAAGGAATAGAGTCTGGGCTGACTGAATCTAATCGCGTAGGCTTAATCACTGTACTCTAAAGGGAGGGTAGGAAGAGCGGCAGGTTCGAACCCATTTTAAGGTCAGCTGGACACCAATCTGATTGAGAGACGGGACCAACCCCTTACATCGGGGAGTGACAAGTTTTGCCATTTAGGAAGCTGGACACGTAGCGGTATTTTATGTCAACCTGGAATATGATTCATGATGCTATGGAAAACAGGAGACTAAGACAATAATTTAAGTCAGAACTAAGAAATTAAGAGAAAAGCATGCACTTAGTGTTTTTTAAAAGGTTAACAAATGTGGGGCTGGAGAGATGGCTCAGCGGTTAAGAGCACTGACTGCTCTTGCAGAGGACCCGGGTTCGATTCCCAGCATCCACATGGTGGCTAGGAACCGTCTTTAACTCCAGTTCCAGGGGAATCCGAAGCCCTCTTCTGACCTCCGCGGCATTGCACGACACGGGTGCACTCACATACATGCAGGCAATACACTCATACACATAAAATAAAAATTAAAAAATTTTAAAAAAAGTTAGCAAATGATACTGAGAAAAAAACCTTTTGGAGAGAAATTTAACTGATTTCACGGCTTAAGCTATGAAAATCCAAGTGGATTTAAGGTGTTTCAAAAATCAAGCTAGGGCTGCAGAGGTGACTCAGTGGTTAAGAGCACTGGCTGCTTTCAGAGGACCCAGGTTCAAATCCCAGCACCTACATGACAGCTAACAGTCGTTTACCGTAACTCCAGTTCCAGGGGATCGGATGCCCTCTTTTGTCCTCCGTGGGCATTGCATGGCACAGGTGTACTGACATATATTCAGGCATAATACTCATACACATAAAAGAACACCCCTCCCCAAATACATAAATAAAGCCAGAGAAATTAAAAGTGATAGAAAGTGGGTCAAAGGGGGCAGGAGATGGCTCATAGGACCCAAGTTTGTTCCCAGCACCCACAAGGCAACAAATGATCTGATACCCTCTCTGGCCTCTTTGGGCACAGGTGCACTTACAGATGTTAGGAATTTAGGTAAAATGTAAGGAGGGTTGGAAAAATAGCTCGGTAGGTAAAGCGCTTCCGTGCAACCCTGTGGACTGGGGTTTGGAGTTCAGATCCCCAGAACCCACATTAATAGAGGCCTTGTAATCCCAGCCTCAGAGGGTAGAGACATGAGCAAGATGCACAGTAAGACTCAACCACATGGGGAGCTCTGGGATGGATTGAGAGACCCTGCCTCACTGAGTAAGGTGGAAGGTGTTTCTTTACATCAGTCAGCCTTGGGCTTTCACATGCAAGCCCCCCACACACACATTACCACACACGTGCAAACATGCATATACACCCATGCATACCACACACACAAATGGAAAAATAAAGTGTACAGACACAGTTTCCATATAAAGAGTAGTGTTACAAGAACAAAAAGTGGCATTTCAGTGGATCTTGAAGGTAAGGAAGAGGTGGTCAGGTGGTATGAGAGAAGGGAATGGAAGGCAAAGGTGATTGACACAGATAAAGTTACCAAACAGAATTCCAACACGGCGGAAGCATAGAATAGGTTGGGAGACATGAAACTGGGGAGATAAAGAATTCGGGTCTGCTCTCAAAGACCATGGGAAGTTGACTTGTTTTTAAGCACAGAAGTGGAATCCCCGAGGGAAGGTTACTGTGGCATTGGAGTCCAGCATGAGCATCAGTGAGGCAGTTGCTCAGACAGGCCCAGGGTGGCAGCGATCCTGCCAAGGTACAGAACTGAGTTTCAGGACACTGAGGAACACGCGGGACTTGATGCTTAATATCATGAGACTGGTAGGGCAGAATAGTAAGGGGGGGGGAACAAACCAGTCAGAACAGGCTTCTGGCTCTAGCATGAGTTGTATTCTTTTAAGATGGAAATATAAAAGGTGAATTTGATTAAAAAAAAAAAAAGAGCTTTGCCATTGAATGGTCATGTTAAGGCGGTAAAAGAAAACCTCCAAGGATATTCAGGTATAGAGTTCCTCTTGGTCTAAGGGGAACTCCTGGCATAGGAGAACTGGATGAGCCTGAGTAGTCAGAGATAGTAGTTTGTGGTGGTTTGAATGAGAACACCGCCCCCATACACACCCCACCCTGCGGAATCAAGGGTTTGAACACTTGTTCAGTCCATGGCACTGGTTGGGTCATGGGACCTTTGGGAGGTGTGGCCTAGGTGGAGGAAGCACAGCACTGGGGTGGGCTTTGAGAATTCATAGCCCTGCCCCACCTCAGTTCCACTGTTTCCTGTGAGTGTCTGAATGTGAGCTCTCAGCTTTCTGCTCCCACCGCCACCTGCCAGGGCTCCCTTGCCATGGCAGACTCTGAACCCTCTTGTAAGCCCAGTGAATTCTTCCTTCCATAAATTGCCTTGGTCATGGTGTTTTATCACAGCAGCAGAAAAGCAACTGTTACATAGGCCATATTGGTGGCAGGTGAGAATACTTAGGGAAAAACTTGGGATGGTAACAAGGCCAGAACTGCAGAGCATGTCCTTAGAGCAGGAAGAGAGGAGAGCCACGTGTTTCAGAAAGAACGGAGTGAGCTTTGGGACCTTGAACTAACAAAGCTGTGAAAACCAGTTATTTTCAAGAGACAGTACATGTCAGTATCTGACTCAGAAAGGTTAAGATCACCTTTTCAGCTCATACTATAAAAAGTCTTCAAATTTGGCAGTTTTGCCAATTTTTTTTTTTTTTTGATCTTTTTGAGACAGGGTCTCCTTGTAGCCCCCGCTGTCCTGGAACTCACTATGTAGACCAGGCTGGGCCAGAACTCACAAAGATCTGCCTGCCTCTGCCTCTGCCTCCCAAGTGTTGGGATTAAAGGCATGCGCCACCACGCCCAGCTGCCAATGAACTTTTAATGAGAATAGCTTTATTAATGTAATAAGGAAATATAATCTAATAACATCAAAAATAATCACAGCCAGAAAAGCAATAAAACCGGAATTTTATCTCTAGCAATTAGGGTAGAAAAGAGGGGCTTTAACAAGCAATTCCTTAAACAGTTGGAGTAAAAGACCCTTCTAGAGTGAAGAAGCCGTAGACAGATGCCTAGTGGACACAATGCATGATATAGAAAGAGAAATTAACTAGTGTATTACTGCCTGGGAATAATTCCTTAGTCGCTGCAGGTGTCCAATGCAGTAAGCAGAAGCCTCATGGCTGTTGAGCCTCTGGAATGTGGCTAGTCTTGATAGAGATGTGCCATAAGTATTAGAAAACACAGATTTCTGAGACAATCTAAAATTTTAATATTGGTATGGGTTACATGTTCAAATGATAATATGTTGTGTCTACTGAGTCAAAGAAAACAGTACAGGGCTGGAGAGATGGCTCAGTGGTTAAGAACACTGGTTGTTCTTGCAGAAGATCCTGGTTCAAGTCTCAGCACTCACATGGCAGCTAACAACTGTCCATAACTCCAGTGCCAGGGGATCCAACAGCCTGTTCTGTCCTCCATGGGCATTGCACACACATGTGCAGTTACCTACACACAGGCAATACACACATACACATAAAATAATAAAGAAAAAAAAGAAAACACAGTAGTTTTAGAATCTATTCAGTGTCCTCAGAGTTGCAAAATATAACATTTCAAAACTGAAAGGCAGGCATATGGAGTCACCCAGCTTAGCACGTCTCTTGGTCTGACCAGGCTGCGGGAAATCAGCTGTGTCATGTAGAGCACCTTCGTAGCTGAGCTGGAGCTAGACTTTGTTTCCCTCTTCTTAACTCAGCACGTGGTCCATTTCACCAACTTCGATCCATACCATGCTGTTTCCATCACTGTGTGCTTCTCCACCAGATACTCCCAGTAATCACTTCCTAATTTTGCTGTTGTCATTTTCACTCAAGTCATCTTTCCTTTTGACCCAAAAGACCTGCAAAAACATCCCCCCTCCAAAAAAAAAAAAGAATAAAAAAGAAATCAGAAAACAAATTCCTGCGAAGAGCTGCACTTTAATATTTAATCACGTGGTATTTCTGGTTGTTACTGTCACTTTTCATCATCAAGAAAATCTCATCTTTAATCATGCTTTGAGGTGGGGCTTGTACAGGTATCATTCTGACTCCCACAGTTGTGGGTTCTGGATAGAGAGCACACATACTCTATCTAAGCTTGATGCTGAGAGACAGAGACAGAGACAGAGAGAGAGAGAGAGAGAGAGAGAAACTCTGTCCTCCCCTCCTTTCCTCTCGGGCTACATTTGTCCGTATGATAGAGGGACAGAAATGGGAAAGTGTATCTTTTAAGTCAAAAATGAAAATTCAAGGCTAAAGCAATAGTAAACCCAGAGACAAAGAGTACTTTATTATAATATTAGGCAGACTCCCTTACATGTTTGTGGTAGGATCCTTATATACTAAGGAAACATTTATTTAGTAAGACTAACTTTCTATTTGAGGTCTGAATTTTGGCATAACAGGTCAATCTTTCTGTCCTGGGGTTTCTAACT